GTGGAGCTTCTACCTATTTTTAACCCTATGATACACTCATGTATTTTACAATAAGAAGTGATTTGTGGAGTTTCTACCTATTTTTAACCCTATGATACACTCATGTATTTTACACAAGAAGTGGTTTGTGGAGCTTCTACCTATTTTTAACCCTATGATACACTCATGTATTTTACACAACCTTTCTAACTACCATGAAGGTATACTACAAGTATGAAAGTACTTAATATATATTTACAAAGAATGGCAAGTGTTTACTAAAAATTTCAAGTCTTTTGTACACAAAAAATCCAATTTTTCAATTAAGTATTTTTACTAAAGATTTGTCTCAAATATATGGAATCAGAATGTTGACTGCTACAAATGCAAAGTAATTTTCATGTTAAGATGAAAAATACTTTTCTTCATCTGAAAAGTTTCAAACTTTATTTGAGTAACCTCTAAAACCTCCTAAATAAGTATCAAACGTTTTTTTTAGTAAAACTATAAAATTTAGTTGTTATTTTCTCTACCATAACTCTATGTGCATTCGATCAATTTGACTGACCTTGTAACAGGAAACTACAACTGTTTATACTAAATAGCTTGTAGCAGTATATATATATCTGATTATACTTAAATTTTATTGGCCTTCTGGCTAACTAATAATCCTGTAAAACAAGCTGTAAGTCACTTGGCAATTGTACAGCACAAGTTACTGTATCGAATTTTGTAATGCACGAGCTGTTTCCAAGAATACCCTGTGAAGAATATTTATAATAATTATTATTTTTCATTATCTAACCTAATAGGTTTCTATCTAGTTACTCTTCTAGTGACAAATAAATAATATACATGAAAAACAAGAAACATAGTAATTACCTTTGACTCTTATTTTTTGCTGTTGGTTGCTGATGAAATTTAAGACAACTTTTAAGAATAATGGTACCAATACATTAAATCATTTTTATTTGTTTAAATCATGTACCAAAGAACAATAACATGCACTTAGTAAACACTGTACAATAACTATTACAATTTAACTGGTTTTCTAACTAAGACAAGAGGGGCTTAAATTAATTCCTTTTGTTGCTCAATCCAAACACCATGAGATAAACTTTTAAACAGAAGAAGAAATAGAAATTACCAGATACTGAAAACAATGTAGTATTATACTTCATTCAATAAATAAAAACGCTGCCTATCTATTAGTTATAAATAATATAGTATAAAACATCAGAGAGAGCTATTAGCAATTTGTGAAAGAGAGGATGTGACAGGTGAATGTTGTAATATTCTAATTTACGACTTTCTATACAAATAAGATTGCACGGCTATAACAATAAGACTTTGCCTCAGTAATATCTATATTATAATAAGTAATTTATGTTAAATTATGTACTTCAGTGAGGGGTGGTAAATAAATTAGAGAAGGGGAAAGAAAGAGAACAAATGTCAAGATTCCAATAGAAGATTTTTAAAAAATATTTCCTTATAAAATTAAGAACTTAAAACTATATAATATTACAAGTTGATTTATTAATTATGTTTGGATGTCAAGTTTATTCATATAAATTAGTTTAATTACGTTTTGAGTGTAACTCTGCTAAAAGTCATGACATGTGCACTTTGACATACCTGTTGCAACATGATCAACATGTTTATAAATAAATACTACATTTAACTGTGGTGTCTGTACATGAACAGTAAATAAAATGTCTGCACACTCATTTAACCAATAATATAATAGATTTAGCAGTTGACACAACTGAATTTCTTACCTTCAGCAGAGCTGCTAGTGACTTGTGGAATTATTGCCATAGTAACATAGTTTACAGCATACCAGAAAGATACTAAAGGTACAAAGTAGTAAAACTGGTACGGACGGTTCATTGAAAGGCATAGGACCAAGACAAGTAGGTTCATACGAAACAAAACCTGAAATTAAAAAGTAAAAATACTTGACATTAAGAACACCTACTATTTCACAAAATGACTTTTAAAAGATGGCTCTAATATTAAAATATAATGAAGATTAAAACTATAGTTACACATAAAAAAAGGAGAATATTCTTTAGTAAATTAAGCATGTCATGAATTGTTGCATGAGCCCCAACAAACACAAACCTCAGTTCAATTCTACCAACCTACTTAAGTATTTGACAGATTTTACTAACAAAATAAAAAAGGGTGGATAATACAAAAAAGCAATTGATCTAGTTTTATGTTACTTTGTTTTAGCAGCAGCATAGTGGTTCATAGAATGGCTCAGAATTGCTGTTTTTTCAAGTACAAACTCTTAGCTCATAGCTTCGCCATCTCTTGAAGAATCTGAAGTGTAATTACAGTTATGGACTCAGGAGGTCAAACCCTTTCGACTGATGTATTTGACCATGCCCAAGGTCTCATAGATTAATTTACTCTAATCCTACCTGAAATAATTTCAAGTGCCGTGGCTACTGAGAATTCCCTCTTGTTAAATTATGAAACAATACTCTCAAAGCACAACAATTCTGTTACACAACTTACCTTACCAGCTCTGGTTAACCCTAAACATACGAGTCAGTCAATGTGATTGACCTTTAATCACTGTATAACCATGAAACTATAAATACTATAATTCTAAATGTATCTTCATGAAAGTTAGCAAACATTTTGTAAAAATTACAAATATATTACACCCAAAACATCAGATTTTGTAATGAAGTATTTTTACTAAAGATTTATGATGTCAGACAAACACGTATGTTCAAGAAGTCTAAATATAAAACGATAAAAACACTGTAACCTGAGTGTTTTCAAAAGGAGGACCTTTCTTATTCATGGACAAACTAAAGAAAGGTTTACCTTTCAAAAGCGCTCGGGTTACAGGGATCATTTTTACTAAAGATTCGTCTGTGAACTTTTGTTGAAGCCTTTACTAAGTTAGTCTAAGTGACAGGTGATTTTCATGCTAAAAACAAAAATACTTACCTTACAGTTTTCATATTTCATTTATATAAGCTTAAGAACCTTCTAAGTGAATATTAAGCTTTTTGCTAGTACAATTTATATTTAACAAATTATTTTTTCTACCCTAAAACTAACCGTAGTAAAATAATCAATGTGCAGTGAAATTAAAAGTTGAAAAATATAAAATGTTTTTTTTTTCTAGAATGACTGCAAATTATAACAAACAATTACAATTATTTATCCTAACAACTCAAACTTCTAACCTTTTAACATGTTTTCTTTTAGTTTAATTGCTTTACATATTTTAGACCCTCTCACATTGCAAAAAACTAATATATCACAGTGGTACAGCTTGGCGTAAACAAATAATCAAGCTACAATCATGCCACACTATGTTCCCATGGTTACCTTGAGCTATGGTATCAAATATCATGAGCAACTTTTTATCAATTTTTTTCATTCAAGTTTTATAAAAATATATATAAAAAAACAAGAAATTTAGCACTTACATTAGCTTTGAAGCCTTTTGCACTTGGGTGTATTGTTTAGTAAGCCTATTTTTTTCTCAATATGTTTGTTGTTCAAACATAATTCAATTAGCTTTCAAATATGCATTTTAGAACACAAAAAGTATATCATGCACAATAATAGAATTATTATAATTTATCTAGCTTTCTAACTAAGCTATAGAAATGTTCAAAATAATCCTTTTATTAAACACATCAAACTTTTCTTGCAAATTGCTGATTCTAATCACCAAAACTAAACAAACAAAAGTAAGAGGGAGTTATACTGAATTTTACTCATTCTTTTATTTACAAACATGTAAATTTACTATGTACCACATGGGTTATAAATAACACACAATGGAAGAATCCTGGTTTAAGGGTTTGACAAATATATCTATACCAAGAAGAGATTTTTTTTTCAGCCTGCCAGTATCTACAGTTTGTGTTTCTAATTAGCTGAACACACAGAACACAATAAAAGGGCTAAACAAATCTAAAAACCAGGTAAATTACATGATACAGAATAAAGAAGACTGAGAAGTTATTTAAATATTTCCTTTTGAAATAATAAGATTAAAAGTTAGATAATAGAAAAATGTTAATTAATATTACATTTTGCTAATAAAGTTAATTAAATTTTGAATGTAACTCTGTTAAAAGTTTGTGACATGCTCACTTTAAGCCATCTGTATGCATTGGGTTAAACTTTATCTCTTGAGGAATCAGCCATTTAACTTATGATATAAAGTGAGTCCATCCTTTCGATTAAGAAATTATACTTGAAACGTTATATGTATATATCTATCTATTTAACTCGTACATACATGCACATGCAAATTTGAAGGGGGAAATATAATCAATTAAAGAAAAAGAGCAAAAATATTCTTGAACTTTTAGTACTAATTTTTTTCAATCCACTCTACAAAAATTTCAGTTGACAGTTTCAATCAATGTTTCTCTACAGTTTGTACACTGTTAATAGAGCCACTATCAAAAATTTGACTCTTTGGCAGATAGAAAACTCATTTTCTTAACTTTTTCTAATCATTTTAGTATTATTAAAATTCTTCTTTAACTTCAAAAAAGATCAATCTCCAACAAGTGTACAGCTGAGAAGCAGGAACATCTGTTTATATGCTCAGCATGAATATCAAGTGAAACAATATATCTTGTAATATAAATCTTTGTCCACAGTTTAAATGCTACTCTTAAATAAAAAAATATACACAATATATAGAAAATAATAATCTGAGAATTTCACTGCAATCTAAATGTCTAGCAAGGCATGTTTCACAAAGCTGGCTTTTCCTAACAGTAACTGTTCTTGTTTTTCTATCCTAACTGTAATACTCAACACTCAAATATAGTTTTTCTAATTATCTCACTACTGTTATTAATTACAGGTGGGATGTAACACAAAATTTTCCTAATTTAACTTGTAAAACTTATTCAAATTGTACATAAGACCCCCAATTTTTTAAAATCCTCACAGGAAGTAGACATGTTTAAACAACTTACTTCTAGTAATCTTCTAATCCAATTACCATGAGAACGCCAATAAATCGGGAAATGACGCATTCGACTCTGAAAAGATTAGAATGAGTCGTCGTTCAGTATATAAATATGACCTTAGATAGGATTATGGAGTGGAGTGAATAAACAAGCCCACCTGATCACTACTATTATGAAACTTACTTGTATACATTGAAGCATAATTACAATAAAAAAGTTGTTTTGGTAGGTTAATATAATTTTCATTGTTACAAATAAGGCTGTATTCTCAGTTACACTCACTAGCTGTGAATTTCAAGTTCTAAACATCTGGAGGTCCATCGTTTCCTTTTGTTAACAGAAACCATTTGACAATGTCTGAAGAGTAATGACACATGTCACTCACATGGAAAATTTGATCTTTTGTTCATGATTTACACAAAAGTTGTTATATTAAAAAAGCCAAACACACACAACACCACAATCTTATACACAGCAGCTCCTTCTGTGCAAGTGACTAAACTATTATGATGGATTACGTGGAGTTATGTTCAGTGGCTGCACGACTTCAATAAAAATGCACTGAATGCCGAATGTATAAGACGTGAGACAAGTGTTATGGTAGAATAAAGAAGATGAACACTAATAATTTTAATGTTGAAAAAAGGAGCATCTGTGTAACTCTACACTCTCCCCCAAGCAAATGTTTAGTTAACCAACAATGATGTAAAAAACTTGACTGATGATAATAATAACTTTTGTTGTAGTTGAAGGTCCATATTTATTTTTGAATCGAACTGTTAGCGTTACTCTGTTCTATTTTAATATTCATTTACTATTATGTTCATTAGCTATGTTTAATAAATTAACAATTTTGTGTTAAAAAGAATATGACTGTTAACCTGCTAGGAATAGTGGCTGTTAAATAAAGATTTATTTTGCTTAAGTAAGTTTCGGTTATTCTAACACAACAGGGTGCTCTTGCAATGCAGGCTTACTATACGTAGCTATACGAGTATTCCAAGTAGCATCAAATATGTGTACATAAACAGTGTGCATTTGTTACTTTCTATTTTTACTTAAAATATAAAAACATGATTACTGTTCTATAGAACATAATTACATGTGAATGCTTTATTTCATTTATATGAATTACCTGTAAAATAAAAGGTTTTTCAATTGAATGTAAACTAGTAGTTATGGTAAAAACATCAGTAAATTATGCAAATTAGTACTACAGAAGGTTCAAATTTTTGTTCAGTAATGAGTTCTGAACTTTGTCAAAATCTACCTTTCAGTACAGTCCTATTACAATATATGTATGTGCTTTATGAAAACAAGGCACAGGATCTAAAAAATTATAGAACCATTTCCAAAAATTTTTCTTAAGCACATCATATTCAAAACCTGATGCAAATTTTGTTTCATAGGAAATAACAATAGAACCAACATCAACATGTAAGTCTTCAAACTGAATAATTCACCATTCTCTGGAAATGGGATAATGATTGGTTACCTCTTCATGTGTCAGAAATTTTGTTATTGAGTTGCATCAGTAGCATTCTACATAATATTACCGGGTAGGCAGGAAGAAATCAAACAATACATGCATCATGTAATTGTGGACATATAACCAGATAAGTTTGGGGTTACCATATTTTCTAAAATGGAGTTGGCCAGCTTCATCAAGCTAGATAAGCTTTGTGCACATTTAACATAACATTTTGGGACAACATGGGACCTATTAGTCCATCTCGGCTGACCCATCCTCTAAACTCAACTAAAACTATTAAAAAATAAATAACAAATCTTAAATCTTATCATTCATATGCATATCAAGCTTTCTCTTAAACTCACTTAAATTTACTGCCTCGACAACATCTTAGTTGAAGATGACTTCTAGTTCTACTATTCTCACTGTTAAGTATAAAAAAAGATGATAGATCAACACTATCAATTCCCTTTACAATCTTAAACACCTCAATTATATCCCCTCTAACTCTTCTTTTTTCAAGAGAAATAATTTTAGAGATTTCAAACTCTCCTTGTACAACAACTCCTTCATCCCAGGCACCATTCTAGTAAACCTTCTCTGAATCCTTTCCAACAATTCATTGTCCTTGCTAAGGTAAGGAACACAATACTCCAAATATGGTCTAATCAGTGACCTATACAAACAAATTATAACCTCTTTAGACTTGTTTTCAATATTTCTGTAGATACAACCTAAAAACAACACAATGCTTGGATGGCTTACACAAAGTATATACTCAGTTCTTGTTAAGTTATGATAGCTACCTTCTCTAAACACAATTTCAAAGAAATTGGTAGAGAATGGTTTTAAAAAAACTTTAAATCTAACTGGCTTTATACTTGCTCAGCACAATCAGTAAAAGTAATAAGTTAATTCCATTATTTTGCTAAACAATTTACTTGATCATATGAGAAAAAAATGTGAACCATGATTCATTCTTTTACCCTTTTGTTATTTCTTTATATATCTTTCAATATGGTATCTGAAGTAAAGTTCAATTGAACTCATCACAAGTGGAATAAAAAAGTAATCTTAGTACTCCCATTAACCCTCTGTACATGGGCTTGGTTATTTTGACCGACTTTTTAGCTACAATGTAACCATAACTATAACTTTTAATGTAAGTGTATTTTCACAACATTTGACAAACATCATAAGTCTGTTCACAAAAAATCATATTTGTCTATGAACTTACAGTCAATCTGACTCAGATTCTAAATAGTCTGAAAGTAAGTGGATTTTCATGTTAAGAAAAAAACTTTTCTTTTCATCTTACAGTTTTCATATTTAATCCACATTAACACTAGAACTGCCAAATTATTATCAAAAGTTTTTTTAAATAAAACTTTATATTTTATCTGATGTTTTCTCTACTCTAAAACACTATATGGGCTTGGTCCATTTGACTAACTTTGTAGTAACCACAAAAAATATGAAATAAACTTAAATTATCCTTTTACCTTCTGCTGCAAATTGTAACAGAAAATTGCAATTATTTATCTTAAACAGCCTCAGGCTTGTAACAGTTTACATCTGTTTATATTTAACTTTATTTTGTTGAATTATGTCTAAATATTAAACTTGTATGAAAAAGGTATAAAAGTTCAAGTTGAGGTAAATAAAGTGCCCAAGGTGATCTTGGTGATAACAACAATGAATTTGTATGACAAATAATACAAAAACTATTGTGAGAATAGCATAGTTTTATACAGAAATCAGTAAACTGAAATCCTCTCTTTAATTAGTTACGAATACTTCAATAGCAAATGTCAGTGACAATCACCAACATTTCTAGAAAGACAGGATGTGACAGGAGGGCATGGCATGTGGGTTTCACTTTCTGGTTTATATCTCCATAAGTAAGAAGATTGAGACTTATAAGTGTAGATTATATACTGGGAGTATCTATACTATAAACATGTAATTTATGTTCAATTTACAACAGCATATAATACAATTATTTCCAGCAACAACTGCATTAATCTATAACTTTGATATTATAAAGACACTAATATTGGGAGTATCTATACTATAAACATGTAATTTATGTTCAATTTACAACAGCATATAATACAATTATTTCCAGCAACAACTGCATTAATCAATAACTTTTGTATTATAAAAACACTAATACTGGGAGTATCTATACTATAAACATGTAATTTATGTTTAATTTACAACAGCATATAATACAATTATTTACAGCAACAACTGCATTAATCAATAACTTTTGTATTATAAAGACACTAATATTGGGAGTATCTATACTATAAACATATAATTTATGTTTAATTTACAACAGCATATAATACAATTATTTACAGCAACAACTGCATCAATCTATAACTTTTGTATTACAAAAACACTAATATTGGGAGTATCTATACTATAAACATGTAATTTATGTTCAATTTACAACAGCATATACAGGTAATAAGAATATCTAAAATGGGCAATTTGGGTTAAACAAGTGTCTCATGATACAGTGAAGGCCGAGAAGTTAGTGTCTCATGATTTAGTGAAGGCTGAGAAGTTAGTATCATAAGACACTAACTTCTCAGCCTTCACTGAATCATGAGACACTAACTTCTCAGCCTTCACTGAATCATGAGACACTAACTTCTCAGCCTTCACTGAATCATGAGACACTAACTTCTCAGC